CGTGATTCATGCGTTCCAGATTCAATGCGTGTGTTTATGTTCCCGTACATGTATGTATACATACATAGGCATATGCATACGTACATATATACGTATACACACACACGCATATACATACATACACATATATATGTATATATATATACATACACATGTATATAGGCATATGCAAATACATAATTATGTACAACATGTGCATATATATGTTTATGTATGTGCACATGCATATGAATTTGTGTAGATGCATGTATGTATGTTTATGTATACAAATTCGTATATGTATTTGTACATGTGTATGTATATGACATACACATCGTAATGTAGGCGTGCATCTTTCATGCCAGTATGTGTGCGTTCGTGCATGTTGGCATCTATGTTTGTGTGGTTGTGTTCATGTATGTCTGTACCAACGCAGGTGTATGTGTATATTTGACTGTATGTCGGTGTGTGTGTACAAACGTATGCATGTTTGCATACATCCATTCATGCAGGCATGTACGTATGTATGTGCGTATGTATGTAAACACGCACGTATGTATACATGTAATTGTGCATGTAGATACGCTTGCGTGCGTTTACGTATGTATATACGTATGATTGTATGCAGGTTTACCAGTATGCAGCTTTGGTTATCGAATGCGTGTGTATGTATATGAACGTATGTACGTATATGTACGCATGTATGTACATACGTGTGTCTGGATGCATGCATTTGTGCACGCTGACGCATATATTCCAAACAAAGAAACAGATAACGACACACACACACACACATATATATATATATATATATGTATAGAACGATATACATGGAGAGGGAGAGAGAGAGAGAGAGAGAAAGAGGGGGGGGGAAAGAGAGAGAGAGAGAGAACGATATAGATATACATACAGAGAGAGAGAGAGAGTGAGAGGTAGAAATCTACAATTTCGTATATACATATATGTATGTATGTTTGTATGTAGGTATATATTCACATGTGTACATCCATGAGAATATATAATATATTCACAACATATGTATGTGTATTCACTTTTTTAAACTATTTACATCTACAACATACATAGAGAGATAGAGACAATATAGAGAGATAACTACAGAGAGAGAGAGAGAGAAAAAAAAGAGAAAGAGAGAGAGATAGAGAGAGAAAGAGAGAGAAAGAGAGAGAGAGAGAGAGAGAGAGAAAGAGAGAGAGATATATGATAGAGAAAGAGAGACAGATAGAGAGAGAGAGAGAGACAGAAAGAGAGAGAGAGAGGGAGGAATAGGGGCACACTGTCCTCATCCTTGTGTGTGGGTGGGGGAAGAAGGGAGGGGGGTGAGGGTGGGCGTAAGGGAGGGGCAAACGACAGTAGTGGGGAAGAGTAATGAGGGTGGAAAAAGGAGGGGGAGGGGAGGGATAATAGGGGGAAAGGAGAATGAAGAGGGAGTGGGAGGTGATGGTGTGCAGGATGGCAGATGAGACGTGAGGTATCCTCCATTGTGTCCTTTGCCTTGCGTCAGATGACCTCCGTCCTCCCCGCTCCCTCAACTCTTTCTATTCCCCCCTCTTCGTCCCCGTTGGCCTACCCACATTTGTTGTTTTCGGCGTTCAGTTCAACATGCCCTCTAATGAGATTTTACTGTTTACTGGGGCCCCCATGTAGAATGCCCGTTTCTTCTGGCATAAGACATCATAGTTGACGCACTTTGCAAACAACCATTACGCCCATGCACGTTGCAGGGAAGATGCGTACCTTAAAACAGTTTTCAATTTTAAGCACCCACCCGACTCCCAGTCAGCCGAAGGGTGTCCGAACCTCGTCCGCCTGGGTTTTTCCGGCGCCCAGGCCTTCCAGGTCTCCCTTCTTCTTCTTCTTCTTATTTTTGTTCTTCTTCTTTTTCTTCTTCTTCTTCCTCTTTTTTGTCCACCCTCTCCTCCATCTCTTCCCTTTCCTCCCCTTCCCCTCCTCCTCCTCCTCTTCCTCCTCCTCCTCCTAACTGTTGTGGTCCATGCGGTTTGCTGGATCTGCCAGTGCTGGTCGTTAGAGCGGCACGCACTGGCGGGCCAAACAGTTTCTTCCGACCATTTCCCGTTCAGATTTGCGACGTGGGTTGTTCAGCAATGGCGCGGCTTGAACAGCCAAACATTCGTGGTGGCAGTACTCTTGCGGTGAAGGGTTACGCCGAACTCCTTGTCCGACAAGTGGCTGCCAGCACTGAAATTGCAAGCGTAACAGCATACATGGTACCAGTTGCAAACATTGTGGCGCTCATCGCGATATTCCTGCTCCTCCTATTCCCATGCGGTCTTTCCGCGCTCCCCAGGGCCTGGCCACCACCCGGAGGAGGTCCACTGGGAAGTCAGGGGTATCATGTAGAAGGTGCACCTGCTCAAACACTTTCGCCTGGCCGCGTGGGCGTTACCCCCCGAACTCGGATATGAGGATCGGCGGTGAGCGAGGGGTGGAAGTGAGAATGAAATGGCCTTCTCAGAAGGCGGCGGGACTTCTCAGAAGCCCTCGCGCCTTTGAGAAGTTGCCAGTGTCCTCGGTGAAGGTTCAGAAAGCCTCTCAGATTGCCAGGGGCCTTCCGAGATCTCTGAGAAGGCCCGCCCCTTCTCATTTCCCCTCCTCGCTCGCCGTCGAGAGGAACTTGTGCAGACAGCCCTTCTCATGGAGAGCGGGCCACGAGCCGTGGGCTGCCCCGTGTCAAGCGGAGTTGGCCCATCGGCGTACCTGCGTCGCAGCATGGGGGCATAGGAGGCCGAGAGGAACTCGAGCAGACATGATGGGCTTGTTTTCCACCACCACCATAAGTTGGAGGGGGAGGGGGTCCTTTTCCTCCTCCTTCTCCGCCTCCTCCTCGTCCTCGTCCTCCTCGTCCTCCTCCTCCTTCCCCCCATCCAACTTATGGTGGTGGTGGTGGTGGAAAACAGGCCCGTCAAGACAGCCTTTCTCATGGAGAGAGCGGGCATTAAGCCGTTGGCTGCCCCCTGCCGAGCGGAGCTGGCCCCTTGGGCGCAACTGCGTCGCAGCAGGGGGGCGCAGGAGGCCGACCCAGAGGCGGACCCCGAGAGACATGCATTGGGCGTGAGCTCGAAAACCGCGATGCATATGCCGAGCGAGCTCGCCACTCAGAAGAACATCATCGTGCAGGTGGTCAGGGAGCTGGGTCAAGCATCGGCGGCGAGCGAAGGGTGGAATTGAGAAGAAAAAAGGCCTTCTCAGAAGGTGGCGGGGCTTCTCAGAAGCCCTCGCGCCTTCTGAGAGGTTTTCTGTGTCTCCGGCGAAGGCTTCGAACACTTCTCAGCAGGCCAGGGGACTTCCGAGCCTTCTGAGAAGGCCCGCCCCTTCTAATTCCTCCCCCTCGCTCGCCGCCGAAAGCAGAGGGTCGCTACCAGACGGCGGCGGCTGAGATACATTCGCAGCGCAGGTCAGCAGTCGTCGTTTGCCCAGAAGTGGGGCCGCAGGCACTCCTCCAGCCCAACAGTGGTCGATCGTCGTGCCTCGTCGTCTAGTGCCGCTTCCTGGGTGTCAGCGGCCTTGGCCGGGCCCTCGGCCCAGGGCACCTCAGGCGGCACCGTGTTGCCGCCCAGGCGCAGCACCATTTCCTGGCGCCACTCTCGTCCAGCGCTGTATCGCTGCGCCCGAAGCGCAAAAAGGTGTCTACAGGCCCTGGCTGCTAGGCAGCGAACCAGCGTCCAGGGCGCCGTGTCCGCAGCCACAGATGCGGGCGCCATGATGCAGCATAACTGCATCACCTTGGCCGAGGGAAGTCAAAATGCGCAGCAGCTGTTCACCACCGTCGCGGTTCGTGTCTCTGGTGTTTAGGCATTTCGTGCTCGCCTCCCCGCCAGTCGTCATCAGGCCTCGCCGCCAACGGCGAGTGCCCTGCGCGCTACAGCGGTTCCGACGACGTTGGATGGAACAAGCTTGTCTGCCCGTGCACCAGAAGAGTCAAACACCTCGTTGGTCGCTGGTCGTCCTCTCGCGCCCAACTCACAGCGCGTCATTCCACCCTGAAATATATGCGCAATTCGCTGGTGACGTTCGTCAGAATTGCCTCTGTCGCGGAACTGCCTGGCGGGTGCCCACACTGTGAGATTTGGGCGAGCCCTCCGTCTGCCAAGGGTGGGCCTTGTCAGCCTCAGCTATCCACCGTGGGTTCATTCGCTGTTTGTGCGAGGCGCAGCAGTGGCCGCGTTCACATGCATCTCTCACAGTCATCCCGAGTAGTAAGGATGAGTAATTTTCCAAGATTGCCCTTGCATCCTTGCCCCTTCGGTCCATCCCTGGCAACTTTCGCTGGCCAGCCCCTTGGGGTACCCTGGGAACATGGCTTTCCAAGGCCCTTGCATTCTTACCGCGCATCCTTACTATAGGGTTTGATGGGAGTTACGTTCGACCTGTACGTCTGAGGTCATTGTAACCTGGCCAGGGTCACGTAGTGGTCCCGCAGGTTTTAGTGCCGCGGTAGGGCAGGATTGCAATTGCCGCAATTTGTCAGTTTTGCGCGCTACAGCCCGCACATTCGCCAGCTGGTACGCTTCTTTCCTGAACTGCACTTGCTTTTTGAGCCCTGGTCTGGACATGCGCCTCCAGCCAGCGGCATTTTTTCAGCCGATGTGTCGTGCAGACACGGCATTATTGATCGATCGAATGATTGAGTAGGGCAGGATCCATCGCGTGCCTAAGGTGGGGAGCTTTGTGCTTCTGGAGCGAGGCTGCCACCCATCTCTCGCCCGGGCTCTGCCTAACACTTGGTGTACTCTGGACGTGTGTGTTCGGACGCTTAGTACCTTTTCCCTCCTTCCTCCCCCACGCCCTTTTCTTCATCCTTTCCCGTCCTCCCCCCTCCACCGTCCCTCCTCCTTCTCCTCGAGACAGCTGCATCAACCTCGAGACCTTCCTGAAGCTTCCGAGGCCATCCGAGCGTGTCCGAAGTCCTTCAAGAGCCCCGGCAGGTTTCCGAGAGCCTCCGAAAAGGGCCTCCCGCCCTCCGCTCGGCGGTTTCTCTGGAGGACTTCCTGCCTGCGGAGTGGTGGGGCCCCGCGGCGGATGGCTACGAGGCGGAGCCCTCGCCGCAGCCCTGGGCGCAGCAGGCAGACGGCGCAAGCTGGCAGCCAGGGAACATGAGCGTGCAGGCAGCGGGGGCTGCCCAATGGAAGGAGGAGGAGGAGGAGGAGGAGGAGGAGGAGGAGAAGGAGGAGGAGGGCGAGGAGGAGGAGGAGGAGGAGGGCGAGGAGGAGGAGGAGGAGAAGGAGAAGGAGGAGGAGGAGGAGGAGGAGGAGGAGGAGAAGGAGGAGGAGGAGGGGGAGGAGGAGGAGGAGGAGGAGGAGGAGGAGAAAACTCGGAAGCTTTTCGGTGAAAAGACAAGCATGAATATCACTCCGGCCCGGCAGGAGGAGGATGTGGAAGGGGGTGGCGACGAGCGGAAGGGAGTGAGTGAGCGGGTGCGTGCTACGAACTCCCCGTGCGGCACTGGTCCTGGATCCCCGCGCCACACTGGATAACAACAGCTGCTGGTTCTGTAAGAACGCCCAGCCATCCTCCGCACGTGCCATGTGGCCCAAAGCATTGGTCCTGGCACCTCATCCCCCGCAGCATCCGCTCTTCCTCCTCCTCCTCGTCCTCCTCCTCCTCCTCCTCCTCCTCCTCCTCGTGCACCCGTGCAGGAAGCGGCGGCGCAGGGTGCTGCCTGGGGCAGGGCCTATGCCGCCTGGAGCCAGGCGCTGCAGCTTCAGCAGCAGCAGCAGCTGTGGCCGCAGGAGCGGCAGCGGCCGGCCGTGGCAGGCGCCACCCGGGGACGGTGCGGCGTCTACGCAGAGGTCAGGTGTTCGGAAGCCCAGGGATTGCCCGATTGCCCACGGGGGGAGCGTTCCACTGGGCAGGGGGGGTCATGGCCAGCGAGTGGGGCGGCGCGGCGGCTACGCAGAGGTCAGGCCTTCGGAAGCGCAGGGGTTGCCCGATTGCCCACGGGGGGAACGTACAGGTGTCGGAAACACTTTAGCAACACGGCCCCGATCGCTCGCGGTCGGATCCAGTGGCGCTACCGCGTCCCTCGGGGCTTTCGCGTCGCAGAACTCAACCCTGAAAGCCTTCGCAGGCGTCGCCAGCACGCCAACGCCGCCCGAACCTACCGTATGCTCTGCGGCCCCGAGCGCACGCCCAGGCACGACGCGAGGCTCGCCTCGGGTTGGCCTCCTTCTCATTCCCCCCGTCGCTCGCTGCCGACGCTTGATCCAGCTCCCTGACCCCCTGCACGATGCTACAGGTCTCGGAAACAATTAAGTAACACTCATGCAGAACATATGGCCTGAACTCCCCAATGCAATGTTGTGTTCGGATTGTCTGATTCGGGGCCTCCGAGTGGTTTTCAAGGAACGTGCCAACCTTGAACTGCGGGGGAGGGGGGAGTGCTGCTTAATCTTCTCCGTCAACTCGGCCAACAACAAACGACCCCACCCCACCTACGGCCTCCAATGTTGCGCTACGGCCCATACGGGGCCGTAGCGTTATACAGTACAAAAACCCACGCCAGACGTCCTGGTATACGCTACGGCCCTTGGGGCCGTAGGTGGGGTGGTGCCGTTCGTTTCTTGGTCCCTCAACCGTACCACTGGGCAGGGGGGTCAAGGCCAGCGAGGGTCTAAGAGGAGGCTGGTGTTTCCTTGGTCCCGCTCGAGCACCCTGGCCCAGGACCCTCTGGCACGCTCATGGGCAAACTGGCGGATGTCTCTCCCTGCGAGGCCTTTCCCCCTCTCTTTCCGTGCTCTCCCCTTCCCCCCCCCCTCCTCCCTCCCTTGCCTCTGCTCCTTCACTCCCCCCGCTTCCCTTCCTTTCTTATATACTCCCTCTCCACCTCCTTCCAGTCCCCCTCCACCTCGTGTCCCCGCACCTGTCCCCTCTCCCCCTCCCTTTCTTGTCTGTGATCTGCAGATTGATTGCTATTGTAAGGTAAAGTTGAGAACCAGCGCGCTGGTCATTGCAGAGCCGCCGATTGCATTCTAGTCTGGTTAGGAGTCCATTTTCCACTTGCCCCATCACTTGGTCACTGACATCATATATGGCACTTTGGAATGGGAAACTCATGCCCCATCTTGCGACCACGTATGCCTCGACTTCAATTTGAATTTCATATCGAGCTGCCTGCCGCAATTCCCAGCACTTGTGGGGGCGATTTGCAGGAAGCCGAAATGTGTGACATCTCGTGTCCTGAGTCTGCTGAGAACCGTAACATGGGACATGCTCTTCTGCGTTGTGCCGATGTTGAAAACGCAGATGATGAGTATCCTGACGATGCTGAAGACGATAAACATGATGCTGATGATGATGATGGTGGTGGTGGTGATGATGATTCTGCTGTTGACGAGGACTGTGAGGATGGTGATGGTGATGATGAGGATGATGATGCTAATGCTGCTGATGATGATGATGCTGATGCTGATGCTGATATGATGATGATGATGGTGATGATGACGATGATGATGATGATGGTATGATGATCATGATGAGGGGGAGGAGGAGGATATATACAGAGATATAGAGACATTATGACGAGGATGGTATGATTATGAGGAGGAGGGGGATTCTGGCGGACGAGGGGGCTGAAGAGCAATATTGAGATGGTGGTGGTGATGCTTATCGTACCAGTAAATATGATGATGCTACTGCTGCTGCTGCTGATGATGATGAAGGTGCTGTTGCTGATGATGCTGCTGTTGATGTTGATGATGATGATGATGATGATGATGATGCTGATGATGATAATGATGATGCTGTTGGTGTTGATGTTGACGATGATTATGATTACGCTGATGATGCTGATGCTGCTGTTGTCATTGTTGCAATGGTTGCTGCTCTTGTTGCTGCTGCTGTTGTTGCTGCTGCTGTTGTTGTTTATGTTGATGTTGTCGTTGATGGTGTTGCTGCAGTCGTAGTCGTATTTGTAGTTGTAGTTGTTGTTGCTGCTGTTGTTGCTGTTGTTGCTGTTGCTGTTGTTGTTGTGGTTATGATGATGATGATGATGATGATGATGATGATGATGATGATGATGATGATGATGATGATGATGATGATGATGACTATTATTATTAGTATTATTATTATCATTGTTGGATTCTTATTTCTGAAGGATAATTATTGCTGGTCCCCCTCCGGGGCACATTGTGTTCTTTCAACTGGAGTGCCCTTCCCGTGGCTCCCACCCAGTTTTTTATCAGGGAGAATCTTGAGTCTCAGAATTGTGTTGTTGGCCTTTGGTTTACAACAGCAACGGCTCCCACCTCATATTTCCTTACAATTTATTTCAAAATCGTGCTCTCGCTCGCTCTCGCGCAGGACTTCCTTACAATTTAATGCAGGAATCGCGCTCTCGCGTGGGAGTTCATCGCAATTTACTCGGGCGTCGCGCCTCCAACCCTTTGGAATCACGCTGTCGCTCGGGCCTTTTTCATGATTTACTTGGGAATCGCGCTATCGCTCGAGACTTCCTCGCGATTCATGCTCACGCTTCGGCAACCCGCCTGCTCGACCTGGCCGCCTGGGCCCGCCTGCCCGACCCGCCCGCTAGGGTCTGCCCGTCCGGCGTGCCCGTCTGGTTCTGCCACGTGTTTTCTGCTCCGGGCCCCCCTCCTGCTAATTTCTCTCGTGCTCCATCCTTCTCCCTCATCATATGATTCACTTGCCCTGCCGCGCGTATCCGCCAGCGCGCTGTGGATGTGTGGGTGGGGATGGGGGTGGGCAGGGGGGGTGGCTGGGGGGAGGGCCCACGAACCACCCCAGTGTGCAAGGGCAACTTGCAGGAACTTTGGCAACCCATCAACTCGTGTTGGGTTCGGTGCGTCAGGTGGCCTTGCTCTGGCTGGCTCCACAGGAAGCAACACGAATGATCCATCACATGGAGCCCGTTAACGCGCTACCAGCGAATATTTTGATTATGCAGGAATTTGACCGACATTCTGAGATGTAGAGGGTTTCATCAAAGGCACTTCGCGTTGGGTCCGTTGTATTTGTGACTAGCCCGACGTACTGCAGAGGCCCAGATGCTCGGTGCGCAATGTGTCTTCTCATAAGTTTCACGATCACGATATAATGAATCAGTTGCTTCCGTGACTGCGTGTCGCTTGACAACGTTGAACCATATTGTTCAATTCCGCTGCAGCGCTTGCCCACCACCGCGATCGGGGGCTTTGGAGGCCTCCGTCCGTGTGCGTCGGGGTCTTCCTCCCTCCTCCCTCCTCTCCCGCCCCTCTCATCGTCCCTCCGTGCCTACTTCGATTCATGCAATTTGCCGCGCACCCCTCTGGGCGGAGTGGGCGGCGGAACGGCGACACCAGAGAGGGGGGAGCGCGAGCGCCCAGGCGAGCTGCCCGAGATCGGCAAGAAGCCCGCTGTCGTGAGCGGGAGGCGGCGGTTCGCACGATTGCACGCTTCACCTGGGCGTTCGGCCACGTGCAGTTGGCAGGTCGCGTGGTGGCCACGGTTCCTGCCCTCAAGGGCCTGTTGCATGGGGTGCCTCCTCCATCGGAGGGCCCCGTGCGTTGAAACGTGCGCAAGGTTCTGGGCGGTCTGTCTTGATCATGCAGTCGGCGGAGTTGCGGGCTCATCAGCACGGGCCACGTCTTGAGGCCCGGCATCATACATTTGCGAGGGGTGATTTCTCCTTCCCTTGGAAGAGTTGGGCTCCTGCATTCTGCCCGATCTAGCTGGCCTGGCCAAGCCCTTTCGTTTGGTCCCGAGTGCGGATGGCGCCATCAGCGAGGCCGCCCTCAGCATCGAGCAAGTCGAGCAGCAGGTGGGTGCCACGTATCGCATGCAAACCCTGGGGGCGTGGCTGAAAAGAAAAGGCAGTGCGCAATTGGACGTGAACGTGGGCTGCCACGTCGACGCGAGCTGCATGGCCGACCAGCTGGACCCCGAGCTCGGCATGACTGGTTGCGAGGTTCCAAGAGCTGGTCGGTGTCGAGGCGGAGGCGCAGGACCAGCTTCGGCGAGAACTGCATGGAGGTCGTGTCAGATGGAGTAGGTGACCTCGTCTCATGCGAGACCACGGTGAAGGCGTCCTGCGGAGATCGGACCGAGTACATGTTGTACCAGTTTTCCCTGGGCCAGACAGCTGCAACAAGAGACCGTCGACGGAGGTGGAGGAGCTGGGCGGGCCCGACGGTGCGGCCGATGGTGGACGGCCGACGCACCGGATGATGCCAGCCCTTTGGGCCATCAAGATGAGTGAAGAGAAGGCCTGGCAGGTTGGCTCGAAGAAACAAGGACAGTGTACACCCCCCGCCGAGGCCAGGATGCCCAGCTGCGCCGTGGGCGACGAAGTGCTCGCGAGGCCGTGACGCCAGCCATTTGGGCCATCAAGATGAGTGAAGAGAAGGCCTGGCAGGATGGCACTAAGAAAAACGACAGTTTAGACCCCCCCGCCGAGACCTAGATGCTGCCCAGCTGCGCCGTGGGCAACGAAGGGATTTCCGAAGTGCACGAGAGGGCGAGCCCACCGAAGGCACTGCAGCTCCTCTCGCCCCCAGCTAACCGCTGTTCGACGAGGCGGGCGGCTCTGGGGTGCCTGCGCTCCCGAGCACCTTCCTCCCCTGCGGGCAAGATCTAATCTATATCCATATCCACTGCGCCTTGGAGTTTCTGGGAAGGGGCGCCACGAGGCCGAGGCGCAGTGGATATGGGTAAGCATCTAGCCTCTATGGGGCCACATGTTTTATCCATGTCCACTGCGCCTCTGTTTTCTGCATGGGAAAGGCGGCCTGGAACCCCAAGATGGGGGCCGGCTGCGTGAATGTCTGCTCGCGGAGCACGCCGTTCTTCGGGAGGAGGCTGTTGATGAATCCGCGTGGCAAGCAGCAGGTTGCGGGCAGAAAGCATTTCGCAATGCGTCTCGGCTTTCTCTTCGGGTTGCGGATACGGATGCAAATTCAAATCCTGCCCGCACCCCCGGGGCGTGAGGAGCCCGAGCGTCGGACACTCCCCCTGCCTGCGAGGCGCCACCGACGGCGCGCGGACTCCCGAGGGCGCTCCCGTCCCGACCGGCCCCCCCGCGCCCCCTTTGTGCGCCGCTTCCCCCCGCGGCTCGTCCAGCTCCAGGCCTTCTGCATTCGCTCAACGCGAGCGCTGCTCTCCTACAGTGGAGACCCATGCCAAGAAGCACCCTGCTTGCCTCCAGGGTGCCCTGGACTTCTTGGGTTTCGATGGTTTTGCGATGGAAAACGTGACGTTCCCACCGAAAACCGATGGACGTCCTGGGGTCTCAGGATTGGGTTTCTTGTGGGAGGTTTCTTGTGGACTGGCCTCCACTGTACCCCATGGTGATCCGGGGACAGGACTGAGGCAGGAAAAGGCTGTTCTCCACCCAGTTTGAAGTGCAGCTGCTCGTGTGTCTCTTAGCTCCCCCTGGCACGGCGCGACCCCGTCGTGGGCACGGAGCCGACCCGAAGGGAGGGAGCGCGTTTCTTGTGGGAGGTTTCTTGTGGACTGGTCTCCACTGTGCATCCCCTGGTGCATCCCCGTCGTGCCGCCGCTGGCCCCCGCGTGGCGCCCGCGCATCTCTCCTGCTTCGGCGGTGGTTTCCAGCGCGGTCTTCTGGATCGGAACGTCCTCGGCCCCTCAGGAGTGGCGCTTCCCCTGCAGTGTCGGCCGAATCTCAGGATCGGTGCTCTGCTCCCCCGTTCACGACGCTTTCCTCGTCGTTGCCGCCCCCTCTTTTCCATGTTCGTTTTTTCGCTGATGCCCCCCTCCTCCTCCTCCTCCCTCCTCCCTCCTCCTCCCCTCCCATTCTCCTCCCTCCTCCTCTCCTCCCTCCTCTCCTCCTCCTCGTTCTTCTCCTCCTCCTGCTCCCTCCTCCTCCTTATCCTCTTCCTCTTTCTTCCCTCCTTCCTCCTTCTCCTCTTCTCTCCCTTCCCTCTCCTCCTCCTCCTCCTCTCCTCCCTCCTCCTCCTCGTCCTCCTCCTCCTCCTCCTCCTTTTCCTCCTCCTCCTCCTCCTTTTCCTCCTCCTCCTCCTTCTCCTTCAAGCTCCCTCCCCCGCCAGAGGTGCGCTGGCGCCGTCCACGCCTCAGTGGTCTGGTTGGGGGGCGTCTCCAACGTGGGCGCCCTGGGCCAGCGGCAGCTCCCCAGCTTCGGGCGCCTCTACCGCCCCAGCGGGGTTCTCCGATCTGGACCGCCGGCAGGACACGGGTGGTCCAAGCTTTTTTCCCCTGCCCTGCTCGGTTGGGTCTTCGTTTTGGATGCAGCATTGCTGCAAGCTCCCGCCTCCTGCCCTCCTCTCCGCCCTTCTCCCCCCCTGCCTGCTACCTCTTCCCTGCCTCCTCTCCCCGGGCGCTGCGAACTGTTCACCCGTCGGCGTTCTCGTGGGCTCCCGTGGGGTCCAGCGGAGTGCGGCCCCACGCAGACCCAGCAAAATAACCTCGCTCTTTCTGGGTGCTGCCAACTGCGCAATAGTCGCCACTTTCGTGGGCTTCTGGGAGGCCGCTGGAGTGAGGCCCCACGCGGATCCACATAGATCTCGCCCTGTCACGATGTTGCCAATTGCGCCATCGTTACAAATTTACTGAGTTCCTGAGAGGTCCAGCGGAGTGACGCCTCACACAGACCCAAACGATACCTCGTCTTGCCTCGGTGCCGCTCCAACTGCGCAACTGTCGCCATTTTCGTGGGCTCCTGGGAGGTCCAGCGGGGTGACGTCATACGGTATATCGACAAAATGTTGCACCACCCGGTGCCCACGACATCGTACGTCGTTTTACCATCGACAGTTCGTGTTCGCTCCCCCCCTCCCCCACCTAGAATTGGGTACGGTCTGGGATCGCCGAGACAGCTCGGTGGTGCAGCGTTCTGTCGATCGCCCGGGGAACTCCAAGCAGCTCCTCCTCGCATGCCCCCAACCTCCTATGGGGGAGGGGGAAAGGCGGAGCGTTGGAGCACACAATCCAGGGCCCCCGCCACGTTCGCGGGCTTCGGTTCCAGCGGTGCGAGGCCCCACGCGGAGACGAACGAGACCTCGCCCTCCCTGGGTGCCGCTCCAGCTGCGCAACTGTCCCCGATGCCGTCGGATCGCTGTCCCTGCGAGCTCCTTCCCTGCGGGCCCCAAGAATACACATCACCGCCACGGCGATTCCTCCTGCCTCCTCTACTCTCCTATTCCTTTCCCTTTCCTGGGAGAGTAAAGGGGTGAGGGAGGTGGTGGTGGTGTATATGTTTGGGCCCCGTATTCCCTCCACCTCCCGCTTCCCCCCGCCCCCCCTCTCCTTCCCGCTCCCGCTTCCCCTTTTCCACGTCGCGAGAGCTTCGCGTTCTCGGCATCAACTTGCCTGTTTCGCGCACAGCGCTTATTGCGCGCGTCGTACCTTCGCTCACGACGTCTCGCCACCTCTCTTTGCGCTTCCTGGTCCCGCGTGACACCTTCGCTGTCTATTCTGTGGGGGATGGAGCAAGCATTGCGAGTGGTATTCAGGCGACCGTCTAGGAACCAAGATCCGACTCGACTCCCGACTCGACGATCAGGAAGGAATACACGACAGGGGAATGGATGTGCGGGAGGGGTAGGCTGTCGGATGTCTCCAGTGCGCCTAGCTTGCTTCTGTTGCTTCTCTTTTTCTCAGTGTTTGCCCTCTTCTCACTTTGCGCAGTTCTCTCTACTCTGTCCTCTCTGCTCTTTCTTGGCCCAGTCGGCTCGCTCGTTCGCCTTGGGGTCCGCGCACCTTCTCGTGCAGGACATGGAAGATGCGGAGCATGCGCAGGATGATGAGGAGCAGGAGGAGGAGCAGGATGAGGAACAGGAAGAGAAGGAGGAAGAGGAGGAGGAGCCGGAGGAGGAGTAGGAGAAGGAGGAGGAGGAGGAGGAGGTGAACATCTGGCAGGAGCTCTTCCACAAGAAGGCGATATCACTCGAGCCAAACGTCGGCGGGGCGAGCTCCGTACCACAAGATGCCCAACTGCTAAACAAGTGCACCCTTCTCACCCATTTTCAATGCTATGTGCACCCCCTCGGCCAATTTTGGCCAAATGAATCGACGGGGGAGAGGAAGACAACAAGCAGACTGGATGAGAGGTAACCCTGAAGAGTTCTAAGTGGCCAGTGGCCGTGTCTTCAACCCAGCAAGGCAAGCTAAGGTAACATCGTATGCATACGCAGAATGAAACAGTGTTTAGCCTACCTGGTGTAAGCAACACGCGATTCTGATTTAGGCGTAAACGTACAGGGGCTTCCCAGCACGCGATGCACTATTTTTAAGTGTCGCGAAGCACCAAATCACGTGACATGATTAACGTCGTCTGTAGCATGTGATTAAATCGCGTAGACGGGCATATGGATCTCAACTGATCCTGAACTCAAATCTCTGGCAACTCGACACTCGATGATAATCAGGATGCGGACGTAGTTAACATTCCGTGGCGGCAGCCAGCTCGTGCCTTCCGCTAAGAAGTTTTTTGATATCTCGCATACGCATCGACATATGTTCTGTGCTCACGCACTCAGTTCGAGCATCTGGGAGTTGTTCATGGGTCGATACTTTGATCATTTGCTCCTGTAACCAAAGTTGGCAGACTTCGAAGTGTCTGACCTTTCCTAATACTAGCCTGCTCGCAAAGGCAATGGCTGCGCTCGCATCGCTCTTTAACGAGATGCCGCAATCAATCTCGACGTCCTGGAGAACCGCTTGAAGCCCTAATGCTACAGAAGCACCACCTTTACACATTACGTAACATTCCGCTTCTCCAGAAGATGATGCTACGACACTCTGGTTCGAACTCCATGACTTCATCAAGTGCGATCCCCACATAACCGTTCCTCCACTTGTCGACTTGCGTATTTTTTGCACCGTGAGTAGTCGGTGTCTGTCCACAAAGTTACCTCCAAAGGTCGTTGTTGATACATGTGCTGATGCCCACACTTGTCGTGGTTCTTGAGGTACTTGCCCAATTTTGTGAGACTTCTCAATGCCCCTCGGGTTGGGGCTGACATAGAGCGTGCAAGTCCCTTGATTGAAAGCTATATGTCCGAGCGGTCCTGTGCAGGATAGTTTGCCCGGGCTGCCAAAGCTTGGCATTTCTCAACTTCATGACTCGGTAGGAGCTCCTCGTCCTCTTCTTCGTAAGGTTGTTTTTCCACCTGGTATCTCACATCTTACCTTGTTCTGCTCCAGGCCCAATTCCTTGACAATCAGATACGCGTGCCTTTGATGCGCCGCATACCGTAGCCCATCTCAGTTCCATTCCACAAATCGGTTGATGATTTTGACCTCGAGCGCCCCTTTGTTTGAATTTCCGAACCAGTCAAGATCAACATCATTATCTAATCAAGTAAACGTATTCCCATGCACCGTTAGCCAGATTCACTTTGCTTTCTGTTTCATGCGCATGGTGACGCGTTCCCCTTGTCAAAACCGATATCGCATGAAACAATCATGTAGCAGTCTTCCCAATTGCTGGCGGCTTTCCAGGTTCCGTACATCGATAGGAACAGCAGTCTGCCACGCATGCCCAGTTCACGATCTTCTTCGGGTAGCCTGATGAGGATGTTCTTTTTGGCCTTGGCGTAGATCTATGCCCGTTAAATATTAGTAATAAGTCCCAGCTTGAGTCCTTTCTCACGCTCCCCTCGGATATACCCTATTCCCTCGGTTACTGCCATACAGAATAGCAATTGTTGACGCTTCGCGTATCCCCACCAGCCCATCCAGAAACGATGCTCAGGGGAGTTGAGGTGATCAGGGAAGTCGGGGAGCATGCAGAATAACAAAGGGCGGGGGAAGCTGTCACAGACCCCGAGAGGGGGAGGATGGAAGAGGAGTCGTCGTCGTCGTCGTCGTCGGAGGAGGAGGAGGAGGAGGGGGAAGAGGAGGAGGAGGAGGAGGAGGAGGAGGACGGAGAAGGAGGAAGAATCGGAGGAGGAGGAGGAGGAGGGGAAGGAGCTTCTTGGGGGTCTTTTGAGGGCCTCTTGGAGGGCTTTTTGGGCGCCTTGGGGCATCTTGGGCGCCTCTTGGGACCCTCTTGAGGCGCTCTGGGGAGCCTTCGGGGCGCTTTTGGGGCCATCTTGGAGGGAGTCGATCAAACAAGAGGGGGGGTTTAATTAGCGTCCCCCCTCGGAAGCCCCTAAAATCGCCTCTTGGACCCCTCTTGGAACGCTCTTGGAGTGCTCTTGGGCGCTCTTGGGGCCGTCTTGGGGCTCTTTTGGGGCTCTCTTGGGGCCCTCTTGGGCCATCTTGGAGCCATCTCCAGGCCTCGGATGGCCATCGGAAGCGAAAAGGCGAGAAAGCAAAAATCATTGATTTTCCTTAGGTTTTGGGACGATTTTGGCCTCTTCGGGGCCTCCTTGGGGAGCTGTTTGGCCACTTGGAGTTATCTTGGGGCCGTCTTTGGGCTTCTTGGAACCATCTTAGGAGCCATCGTGAGCGATCTTGCGCTATCTTGAGCCATCTTGGAGCTCATCTTGGGTTCTCTGAGGCGCTCTTGGAGCCGTCTTGGGCCATCTTGGACGCTCTAACTACCCGCGGCCCCCCCCGTCCAGGTCCAGGGGAGGGGGTAGGGGGAGGGGTAAACCCCTCCCCAAGGGGGAAGAGGGAGGGGTGGAAGAGGATCTGCTCTAGACCACCTACGCCCAGAGGGCTGGTGGGATTTTTGTGCTTCCAGTGCAACCCGCCTGGATCGGTACTCAGGATTGGCCTCGCCCCCTTTGTTGATATCGATCCACCTCGTGCCAATGGGGGCCTCGCCAGTAACCGCCTAGCATTCCTCCTCCTTTACTTCCGCGGAGGCCTCGCGCTTCCTAAATTGCTCCATCTCCTCCTCCCGAGCCTTTGACGTGAATTCTGGATCAAGTTAACTTCCTGACACATCATTCCACGCCTGAACTTGCTATGTTCGCGGTGAGCTACACAGATGGCACCTCTGGTAACTGGCTGCACCTCGGCAACGCTCCGCATGCTTCCTGGTGCCGGCGCACTCTACATATCCATCGGTGAAGCTGGACGTCTTGGGTAATCCGGTCGGTGGATTTAGAGGCGATGTTGCGTGTTTCTTCTCTCAATTTTATCAGTAATTGGCCAGTGTCCATGTTCCGAGTTCTGCGCAGGCAATCATTCCATGCTGGTCGTGACATTCCTGGAGGCATGAGGCGAGATGTGCCATAGTCTTTCCTGGTCCTGGTTGACAGGCCCATCTCCAAACTCATTCTG